GCTGGTCACGTGCCTCATCAAAAATTTAGCGCCTGAGGGGGTGTGGGGAAAGTATCAAATTACATAAACATGCTTCCAGCGGAATATTCGTTAAAAACATAAATTTTGCGAATTATTATGTTCAAAATACTTGCTAATTTTTGTTTATTTTCTTTGCTTTGAATTTACAAGAACATTCTTACATTCTTACTTACAGTCAAGTCAAGAAACAAAGCAAATCGTTACTCGCAGTACGTGCTCTGTCGCGTTGTTATTCAATGCATGCTCTCTTCACAATCGAGCGCGGTTATAACAAACCTTTTAATATTGTATTGTTTTTAAAATACGCCATTACATTCGTCCTTTCTTGTAAACGTTGATACGCTTTGTACCGATTCACTTGTTACTACGCGTCTTGTTTATAAGATTTTTAAAAGAAACAGTATTGTCTAGGACTGACCCAATATTAGCAAATGTAAACATTTGATAATAGCCAACAGAGAAATGTCTATAAGTATAGAGGAAATTTCAGTCATTGGTTTATCTGGATTTAATACATAATTCGTTTTCGGTAATTATAGTAAGACTTTAGCCTTTTTTTGGTCTCTATTAATCATTATATTGTGTTAACATACTATAATCTATATCGCAAATTTACAGTGTCAGATGCGCACAGACCGTCATTGGCATCATACGAATAGACATAAATTTTCGAGTTTTCTAGCCTACTTCTACTAACATTTCTAAAGTTTTTATTGTGAATCACCTGTTTATCTCTAATTCATTAATCATTTATTTATTTGATAGTGTCATATAGTGAATAATGCGTTCACACACAAGCAATCCTGGATATGATATAGACGATGTAAGCTGTCCATTAAAAAATAACGGTATTCTACTTCACAAAGTCAAAGCAAAAATTTAAATCTCACTTGTATTATTAAGAATGCATATACAGCAAAAACTTAAAGCTTATTCATATCAAAACGAAAGCTGTTTACAAAATTTATAAAGGTGGTAAACACTACTAAAAACAGTGCTCATTGAAAGACATGTATAATATAGTGACATATAATTTGTCGTTTGACTTATCTGTGGTGTATGATTTTAATACCGTAGATTTTCAACAGACAGCTATACTTTGACATATACCATGATCGCTGGTTTCAGCAATGCCAAGGGCCAATTTTATAGTGTTTTGACGGGCTTTAAGTTTTTTTGATAAGGCCTTTATATAGATCAACAATCTGGATACAGTTGGCGATATTTCGGTAATCAAAAGATCTCGCTATTTCGTTGCAATTCCACATCTCACCAATAAATAAATTCTTTTGGTCCGAGTATCAGGATAGACATTAATACTAAATAAATAACAACCACACTGTTCGGTCTAGAGATCTACATTTTCTTGTAGGTTTAATATCGCCACGCTGCACAAGCGGCAAGTGGCTTTCTTTGGCAAATCTATAAGTTGAATATTGAAATCTGATCCAACTTGCTTGAATTGTAACTCGACACCAGATTATAGAGTAGAGCGTCACGATATAAATATTAATTTAAGAGTTCTCTTTACGATTTCTTGTTGCAAATTTACAGTAAATTTCATCACCCAAAGTTGCAATTGTAAAACGCTACAAACACGCTCCTTTCCCACCCCTCTCACAGTTACAATTAAATTTACCTCCCAGAATCTGGGAGGCACGTGACCAGCCGCAGCCAGGGTCTCTCCCAGATGACAGAAGGAGAGACCCTGGGTACGAGGTTGCTAGTGCCAGTACTTTTCCGCGTATCGAGATCATCGGACCATGGAAGTATTGAAATTTTTTATAGTTCTGCAAGTTGCAGCATTGAAACTCGAAAGTTTCGATATTTTTAGCCAGTTTATCATGGTATTGTTTCTCAAAGACTGCCAGTTTACTGTAGACCTTACTTCTAAACACTTTCCTTATAAAAGAAAGCAAGAAATTCGTCGGAGAATCACAGAATATGGAGGGACAATTTCGTACATTCTGAACAACAAGGTATGTCAAAATAGCTTTCACTACAAAGCAGTATCGCGCAGCAAATGCTGGCCAACCTGCAGTTATCAGAATGAGAAAGTGATGTTCATTCCTTTCATTACATAGAGTAGTCTTGTACTTGGTAGAAAATGTTTAGAAGCGAGTGATGCAACTTTTAATTTGCTTGCTCTTAATAAATATGTGAACATTTTTGAAAGTTGCTTGCTCCACGTTATGAAATATTTGAAGTTAGTTCGCTTGTGTTAGCAAGAGTGAATATTCCGTGTGTATGTGTATTCATTGGAAACTATGAAATGTGTGAAGTATGTTAAAACAGCAGTTGTCCCTGAGGCGACGGTGCGAGGGTACTATTTCCCCCCGGCTATTTACACCTGGCCAGGGTGCATTCCATGTAGAGTGCACGCCGAAGTTCCGCTGCTGGAAAATTCGCACACGCCGCCAGACTACCAGATTCAATTAATCAAAAAAATTTCGGTCAGTGTGCCATTTTAGGGGTCAAAAATTTCCGGACATCCCAAAAGTTTTCGTTGCATAAAACAATTTTTCTCGGCATTACCAAATTTTCTCCATTTATCCAACTTTTTTTTCTTAAATCCGAAAATTTTGTCAATTTAGCTCATTCTCCAAATTCACACTTATTTTTGTTAATTAACTTTCTCTGGGCCTAGAAATTACCTGAATTTGCGTTCATTTACCCGACTTTCCTCTGCAAATCTACCTGGATTTACCTGAAATTGCTCACATGAGCAATTATTGGTGGGTGTTACTGTTACACCCCCCGGTCGGCACGGCCCTGTGCGTGTGTGGTTTTAGACACAATAAAACACGAGTCGCAAGTGTATTGAACGGCTTCAAAAACCAATTAGTATTCTTTATATGAGGAATACTAAGTATAGGAAGTGTTTTATCAAATATGAACCACTGCATGTAACATATTATACTTGATTTGGTTGCCAAAAAAGATCATGAAACTGTTAAGTTATCCGATAAACAATAGAGACTTAACGACGATCTTTTCTGATTGTATTATATTAAGTTTGTATGCCGTTGAGGGAAAAAAAAGACTATGCCGTCACGCCAACATTAGCATTTGCACGCTGCTGCGCCGTAGGGCATCGCAACTCCACGACGAAGATCTTCGGGTTTGGCTACATGGAATGCACCCTGGACACCCGGGGAAACAAAGGCATTAGCAAAGTCTAAAGTTCATCAATCATTGCGGGCGTGGGCAGGGGCGTAAATGTGGGGGGTGTAGGGGGGTGGTTCACCCCCCCCCCCAGAGAAATGATCCAGTCGGTCTCAAAATTATGCTGTTTACATGCAATGCTTTGCGAAGCAAATTAAATATTTTCGAAACTCGAGATAGACTCAAACTATTTAGTATTGAGTTGGAAATTTGCTCAGAAATAATATGAAGAAATATTATGTACTTATTTCGTGAGTTTATGAATGAATTATCAGTTGGCACTTTTATTTGGAACTTAGGTTCTGCAAGGTCATTCACGGGTGATATTCTATAATTGTATAAGTGAAAATTTCAAACCCCCCAAATCAGACTCCAAAATGCGATGAATGTCAATCAAAATAGCTAACATTAGTTACAATATTTCTCCGGTCCCTAAACTATAAGATGCAAAACATGCAAAGTGCAAAAACGAATTTCTAGCCAAGTTATATTAGGAATTACGTTCACATGTAACACGATATGCATATGGATTTTGTTACCAAAGAGTTTTATGTGCCTACTGCAATCAACTGAGAAATTCGATCAGTGAACGACGCACTGGTTTAACTGAAATCACGGAGCGAAAAATGTTTCCACTTACTAGGCGATGTTTCCAATTGTTGCTTACAGTCAGGCCGATAACTAGGTATATGAGTCAATCGAGTTCAAGTTCAATGACAGACTGTAGTTCTCTCCATGTGAGGCATTATTCTTGCCCTACAGTGACGTAAGAAATGGGAGGCTGTGTGGGTGCACAAGTACCCCAATAACAAAAGTGCAGGCCAGTGCCCAAATATTACAACAATTGAGCACAAATACTTTTTTATTATGCACCTGATCAATGATGTTCGACCAAAAATATTTGTAATTCTTAGCCTCAGGATTGGGGGCAAACAGCAAACTACAGTATAAAATTATAGTCATTGTGTCACTGTTTATGAAATTGATTTTGTGGTTTAAACTGCTCCCAGAATGCAGGAAATAGCGTTTCTAAGCCTTGGAAAATCAAAAATTTTCTGGGGGAGCAGACCCCCCAAAAGTGTCTCGGTCAATCAAAAATACTATAGTTACGCGCCTGACAGTTCCTGTAACATCCGATGCATCAGCCGAGCGCAGCTTTTCAAATTTGAAGTCGGTGAAAACTGTTATGCATTCAGTAATGAACCAGGAACACCTTGGTGAACTCTTGACTCTTGTGTGTGAGCGCGATCTAACAGACACAGTCACACGATCGATCTTGACGAAATTGCTAATCCGTGGTCAAACCTGACTAAGGGCAGACACTTAACGTTTCACAGCAAACTGTACATGTTCTTGTTTTGTACTCGATTTTATTGCAACACACCAACTCACCAAGAGTTGGTCTGGATTCACATTTCAGTGGTGGGTTGGTCTCATTTCGTGATTACACCCTCCCAGTCAAAATCAATATGTCCGCCCCTGCGCGTGGGTCACCAACGGTGTTGGAGTGTTGTGTGTTGGTGGACTGTCATGAATAGCAGACACTGATTGGTCCAATTTAAAGTTTGCATTATAACAACTGCATGACGACAGCGAAATAACATACATTTCTTGATTTGATGATTGATAAATTTCTTGCAAATATATTTCATTTTTGTTGCATTTTTACAAGATTTTGTAAATTTCAAAAGCTTTCTCAGAAAGATATTGCGAAAAAAACCTTGACAGCCTTTGCGTATGTTTTAAAACTCGATGGCCTTTGCGTAATGTTTAAAACCTGATGGCCTTTGCGAATGTGAAACAACTAAACCAGGCAGCATATAATTTCAGTGTATTTTTAATTAATATTGATTCCCTTTTTTATTATAGTGAATTTTTTAAATAAAAAAAGAAAACAAAGTTATTTGCATGCGAGAATTTGAAATCATTTTATTGCAAACTCAAAGTTTATCGATAAAGCCGTAGGCAGTTTAGTTTTGTGAACGACACTTTAAAACGTTTTGCAAAACGTTTGTGGTTGAATTTTACCTTAAATTGAAGCTTATATTATTTATATAATAACATACCTAACATATATATGTTGGGAAATTGATAATGTTGTCAATTAAAAGTGATATTTTGAGGGGATTTTTCATTTGTAAGAATATTCTTATAAAATTATCGTGTTACCATGTCAACTACTTTAGATACTTCATGTTCGGAAAATACAATGGTTTTGTCAGCAAGGAGAGAGTTTCTAACTTTCTGCATGCATGTATTTTCTAGTATTTGGCCTATTTTTGCCTTGGCAACTTTGAGGGTTTTATCATTTGCTTTGGCAATTCTGAAGTGCTGAGGTGAATTATGAAGTTTGCACAATGATAGACCAGTGGTGGATCCAGCAAAGTTGTTTTGGGGGGTGCTAACCAATGGCAAAACAAGCGCCGAAGGTGCGAGATTTCTATGGGGGTCTGGTGGTCCCCTGAAAATTTTTAAAATTTGGGTCTCTGAAATGGCATTTCCAGCATTCTGAGAAAACATTCTGGAAAATTTTTAGATTCTCAAAACATTTAAAAATTCAGAATACTTAATATTGGCTATTCTGCTATTGTCAACTGGTGATACCCAACTGAATTCCTTAGCATAAGATAGACTAGATTTGATGTTAGTAATATGCATGTATTCGCAAGTTCGTATATACTGTGAACAAAAAGCAATATAAACATACAGTATATAATCTATACTAAAACAACAACACTTCTGTATTAGAGAGCTGTCTGTATTAGAGAGGTGTCTGTATTAGAGAGATGTCTGTATTAGAGAGGTGTCTGTATTAGAGAGGTGTCTGTATTAGAGAGATGTTTGTATTAGAGAGATTTCTGTATTAGAGAGGTGTCTGTATTAGAGAGATGTCTGTATTAGAGAGATGTCTGTATTAGAGTGATGTCTGTATTAGAGAGGTGTCGGTATTAGAGAGGTGTCGGTATTAGAGAGATGTCTGTATTAGAGACTAGAGAGATGTCTGTATTAGAGAGATGTCTGTATGAGAGGTGTCTGTATTAGAGAGGTGTCTGTATTACAGAGATGTTTGTATTAGAGAGATGTCTGTATTAGAGAGATGTATGTATTAGAGAGATGACTGTATGAGAGAGGTGTCTGTATTAGAGAGGTGTCTGTATTAGAGAGATGTTTGTATTAGAGAGGTGTCTTTATTAGAGAGATGTCTGTATTAGAGAGATGTCTGTATTAGAGAGGTGTCTGTATTAGAGAGATGTATGTATTAGAGAGATGTCTGTATGAGAGAGGTGTCTGTATTAGAGAGGTGTCTGTATTAGAGTGGTGTCTATGTTAGGGAGGTGTCTGTATTAGAGAAGTGTCTGTATTAGAGAGGTGTCTGTATTAGAGAGATGTCTGTCTTAGAGTGGTGTCAGTGTTAGGGAGGTGTCTGTCTTAGAGTGGTGTCTATGTTAGGGAGGTGTCTGTATACCGACTCCTCTCTGATGCAGACACCTCTCTAATATAGACATGTCTCTAATACAGACATCTCTCTAATACAGACACCTCTCTAATACCAAATCTGTTTATTTAGACCAAGTTATTTGTGTCAGAAAACAAAGAGATTACTGAAACATACAAAGGCAGAACAGCAGTGAAACTTGGCATTCCTATTGTATCATAATGTTATTCATTGATGACTGCGCACAACAACAGAAATTACTCGACAGCGATGAATATCTGTTGGTTGGAAAACAGTTCTCATCGGGTATTATAAAAGGTAACAAGTAATATATTATAATCAGTCTGAGATGGTACCATGATATGCAATTCGAATCTGAAAAATTGTTTTACCGATAATTGTTTTTAGCAAATGTCCAGAAACCAAGTGGTGCTAAGGCAAAATTACTAAAACCCTTGTCGCTTGCAAATCTGAAGTCTACAAGGTAATTGATGCATATTTCATTGACATTGTGATTGTTTTAGTATGGACATATGGCAAAGCCCATCTCCTCTCGAACATGCTGCAGAGATTAAATTTATTTTCAATCCCTCTAATGTTTGCTTGTGAGTAAGTGGACGAGACCTAAGCTGAATTACGAACAAGGGTGGGTTGACTACAAAATTTTTGTAGTTCGCTATAACTACAGCTACTTCAAAAATATATAGTCAGCTACAACTACTGCTACTTTTGAACAAAGGTAGTTCGCTACTGACTACAGCTACTGCTTAAAAAATGTAGCGAACTATTTCGCTATTTCGCTACTCTATATTTTTTAGTTTTATGGTATTTGGAGCATCCACTAGCTCGGGCTGTAATGTAACCTATAACAAATCGACTTACGAGTAGCAACAGTAAACAAAAAGGGTCAAAGCAACATTTTTGCAAGCACTACAGTGTTCAGGAGTGCCACTTTTCATTGCGCTACAATAATCTTTTCTGTATAAAATAATCTTTTAAGCAAACCGTGTCTTAATATCATTCTATTCTATGAACGGTTGCTAACAATTTTAAAAAGTAGCGAATAGCGATTCGCTGTTTGAAAAGTAGTCAACTATTTGGCTACTTTTAGTCAAAATGTAGTTCGCTATAACTACAACTACTGTTTTAAAAAAGTAGTCAAAAACTACAGGCTACTTGAAAATTGTAGTTCGCTACAGTAGCGAACTACAACTACTTCGCTACTACCCACCCTTGATTACGAATGACGTAACTCAACCTGATCGAGTCAAAGGTTTTCTAAGGGAGCCTCTGGCAGCCACTTTATGACTCCTATCTGATCATGGAGTACAGGCATATCTAATACTAATTGAACCTGTGTTTCTTTGTAAGACCGCCATAGATTTGACTCCTACCAGAAGGTCTGCAGTTGCATTTTTTGCAACTGTTTCTGATTAGGTCTTAATATATGTATAAAATTTAGACTTAAAATTTCCAGCTATAAAAATCTTCAACAATTAGTTATATTAAATGACATGTCCAAAGTCATGACATTTATCCAAAATATTAATCACATGTAAAATATTTTATTTAGAGTTTATTTATACAATCAAGAGAGTGATACCGTTCCTTTCTTTCCAATGGATGAATATGAAATCATTAAATATGGTTGGTTCAAGGTAAATGCAAAATTATTTTACCCTGTGTAAAAATGTGGGGCATTGTAAAATTGTCGTTGAAAAATAGTTTTATCTTATATTTTTTGATAATAGAGAGGTGTCTGTATTAGAGAGATGTCCGTATTAGAGGGATGTCTGTATTAGAGAGATGGTTGTATTAGAGAGGTGCCTGTATTAGAAGGGTGTCTGTATTAGAGAGGTGTCTGTATTAGAGAGGTGTCTATGTTAGAGAGGTATCTGTATTAGAGACATGTCTGTATTAGAGAGGTGTCTGTATTAGAGAGGAGTCTGTATTAGAGAGGTGTCTGTATTAGAGAGATGTCTATATTAGAGAGGTGTCTGTATTATGTTTAGAGAGGTGTCTGTATTATACTTAGAAAGGTGTCTATATTAGAGAGATGTCTGTATTAGAGAGGTGTTTGTATTAGAAAGGTGTCTGTATTAGAGAGATGTCTGTATTTGAGAGATGTCTGTATTATAGAGTTGTTTGTATTAGAGAGATGTCTATATTAGAGGGGTGACTATACAGACTAATACCATATCTGTTTATTTAGACCAAGTTCTTTGTGTCAGGAAACAAAGAGATTACTGAAACATACAAGGGAAGAACAGCAGTGAAACTTGGCATTCATATTGTATCATTGTTATTCATTGATGACTGCGCACATTACTGGACAGCGATGAATATCCGTTGGTTGGAAAGTCTACAGCACAACAATTCTCATCGGGCATTATAAAAGGTAACAAGTAATATATTATGAGTCTGAGATTGGACAATGATATATAATTCGAATCTAAAAAATTGTTTGACTGATAATTGTTTTGAGCGAATGTCCAGAAACCAATTGGCGCTAAGGCAAAAGTACTAAAACCCTTGTCGCTTGCAAATCTGAAGTCTACAAGGTAATTGATGCATATTACATTGACAGTGTGATATTTTTAGTATGGAGAAATGGCAAAGCCCATCTGCTCTCGAACATGCTGCATTATTTTCAATCCCTGTAATGTATGCTTGTGAGTAACTTGAGGAGACCTAAGTTGAATTACGAATGACACAACTCAACCTGATTGAGGCAAAGGTTTTCTAAGGGTGCGTCTGGCAGCCACTTTATGACTCCTATCTGATCATGGAGTACAGGCAAATCTAATACTATTTGAACCTGAATTTCTTTGTAAGACCGTCATAGGTTTGACTCCTGTCACAGGCTCTGTAGTTGCATTTTTTGCAACCGTTTCTGGTTAGATCTTAATATATGTACAAAATTTAGACTTAAAATTTCCATCTATAAAAATCTTCAACAATTAGTTATATCGAATGAGATGTCCAAAGTCATGACATTTATCCAAAATATTAATCACATGTAAAATATTTTATTTAGAGTTTATTTATACAATCAAGAGAGTGATACCGTTCCTTTCTTTCCAACGGATGAATATGAAATCATTAAATATGGTTGGTTCAGGTAAATGCAAAATTATTTTACCCTGTGTTAAAGTGTGAGGCATTGTAAAATTGTCGTTGAAACATAGTTTTATCTTATTCGAGAGGTGTCTATGTTGGAGAGATGTCTGTATTAGAGAGGTGTCTGTATACCGACTCCTCTCTAAAACAGACACCTCTCTAATACAGACACTCTCAAATACAGACACCTCTGTAATACCATATTTGTTTATTTAGACCAAGTTCTTTGCGTCAGAAAACGAAGAGATTACTGAAACATACAAAGGCAGGACAGGAGTGAAACTTGGCATTCCTATTGTATCATTGTTATTCATTGATGACTGCGCACAACAACAGAAATTACTGGACAGTGATGAATATCTGTTGGTTGGAAAATCTGCTTCTAAACATTTCTCATCGGGCATTATAAAAGGTAACGAGTAATGTATTATAATGAGTCTGAGATGCGACAATGATATGTAATTCGCATCTAAAACGTTGTTTTACTGATAATTGTTTTTAGCGAATGTCCAGAAACCAAGTGGTGCTAAGGCGAAATTACTAAAACCCTTGTCGCTTGCAAATCTGAAGTCTACAAGGTAATTGATGCATATTTCATTGACATTGTGATTGTTTTAGTATGGAGATATGGCAAAGCCCATCTGCTCTGGAACATGCTGCAGAGATTAGATTTATTTTCAATCCCAGTAATGTATGCTTGTGAGTAAGTGGAGGAGACCTAAGCTGAATTACGAATGACACAACTCAACCTGATTGAGTCAAAGGTTTTCTAATGGAGCCTCTGGCAGCTGTGTTTCTTTGTAAGATCGCCATAGATTTGACTCCTACCAGAGGCTCTCTAGTAGCATTTTTCGTAACTGTTTCTGGTTAGGGCTTAATATATGTATAAAATTTAGACTTAAAATTTCCATCTGTAAAAATCTTCAACAATTAGTTATATTAAATGACAAGTCCAAAGTCATGACATTTATCCAAAATATTAATCACATGTAAAATATTTTATTTAGAGTTTATTTATACAATCAAGAGAGTGATACCATTCCTTTCTTTCCAACGGATGAATATGAAATCATTAAATATGGTTGGTTCAAGGTAAATGCAAAATTATTTTACCCTGTGTAAAAATGTGGGGCATTGTAAAATTGTCGTTGAAAAATAGTTTTATCTTATATTTTTTGATAATAGAGAGGTGTCTGTATTAGAGAGATGTCCGTATTAGAGGGATGTCTGTATTAGAGAGATGGTTGTATTAGAGAGGTGCCTGTATTAGAAGGGTGTCTGTATTAGAGAGGTGTCTGTATTAGAGAGGTGTCTATGTTAGAGAGGTATCTGTATTAGAGACATGTCTGTATTAGAGAGGTGTCTGTATTAGAGAGGAGTCTGTATTAGAGAGGTGTCTGTATTAGAGAGATGTCTATATTAGAGAGGTGTCTGTATTATGTTTAGAGAGGTGTCTGTATTATACTTAGAAAGGTGTCTATATTAGAGAGATGTCTGTATTAGAGAGGTGTTTGTATTAGAAAGGTGTCTGTATTAGAGAGATGTCTGTATTTGAGAGATGTCTGTATTATAGAGTTGTTTGTATTAGAGAGATGTCTATATTAGAGGGGTGACTATACAGACTAATACCATATCTGTTTATTTAGACCAAGTTCTTTGTGTCAGGAAACAAAGAGATTACTGAAACATACAAGGGAACAACAGCAGTGAAACTTGGCATTCATATTGTATCATTGTTATTCATTGATGACTGCGCACATTACTGGACAGCGATGAATATCCGTTGGTTGGAAAGTCTACAGCAAAACAATTCTCATCGGGCATTATAAAAGGTAACAAGTAATATATTATGAGTCTGAGATTGGACAATGATATATAATTCGAATCTAAAAAATTGTTTGACTGATAATTGTTTTGAGCGAATGTCCAGAAACCAATTGGCGCTAAGGCAAAAGTACTAAAACCCTTGTCGCTTGCAAATCTGAAGTCTACAAGGTAATTGATGCATATTACATTGACAGTGTGATATTTTTAGTATGGAGAAATGGCAAAGCCCATCTGCTCTTGAACATGCTGCATTATTTTCAATCCCTGTAATGTATGCTTGTGAGTAACTTGAGGAGACCTAAGTTGAATTACGAATGACACAACTCAACCTGATTGAGGCAAAGGTTTTCTAAGGGTGCGTCTGGCAGCCACTTTATGACTCCTATCTGATCATGGAGTACAGGCAAATCTAATACTATTTGAACCTGAATTTCTTTGTAAGACCGTCATAGGTTTGACTCCTGTCACAGGCTCTGTAGTTGCATTTTTTGCAACCGTTTCTGGTTAGATCTTAATATATGTACAAAATTTAGACTTAAAATTTCCATCTATAAAAATCTTCAACAATTAGTTATATCGAATGAGATGTCCAAAGTCATGACATTTATCCAAAATATTAATCACATGTAAAATATTTTATTTAGAGTTTATTTATACAATCAAGAGAGTGATACCGTTCCTTTCTTTCCAACGGATGAATATGAAATCATTAAATATGGTTGGTTCAGGTAAATGCAAAATTATTTTACCCTGTGTTAAAGTGTGAGGCATTGTAAAATTGTCGTTGAAACATAGTTTTATCTTATTCGAGAGGTGTCTATGTTGGAGAGATGTCTGTATTAGAGAGGTGTCTGTATACCGACTCCTCTCTAAAACAGACACCTCTCTAATACAGACACTCTCAAACACAGACACCTCTGTAATACCATATTTGTTATTTAGACCAAGTTCTTTGTGTCAGAAAACGAAGAGATTACTGAAACATACAAAGGCAGGACAGGAGTGAAACTTGGCATTCCTATTGTATCATTGTTATTCATTGATGACTGCGCACAACAACAGAAATTACTGGACAGTGATGAATATCTGTTGGTTGGAAAATCTGCTTCCAAACATTTCTCATCGGGCATTATAAAAGGTAACGAGTAATGTATTATTAGGAGTCTGAGATGTGACAATGATATGTAATTGCATCTAAAAAGTTGTTTTGCTGATAATTGTTTTTAGCAAATGTCCAGAAACCAAGTGATGCTAAGGCAAAATTACTAAAACCCTTGTCGTTTGCAAATCTGAAATCTACAAGGTAATTGATGTATATTTCATTGATATTGTGATTGTTTTAGTATGGAGATATGGCAAAGCCCATCTGCTCTCGAACATGCTGCAGAGATTAAATTTATTTTCAATCCCAGTAATTTATGCTTGTGAGTAAGTGGAGGAGACCTAAGCTGAATTACGAATGACACAACTCAACCTGATTGAGGCAAAGGTTTTCTAAAGGCACCTCTGGCAGTTGTGTTTCTTTGTAAGACCGCCATAGATTTGACTCCTAGCAGAAGGTCTCTAGTAGCATTTTTCGTAACTGCTTCTGGTTAAGTCTTAATATATGTATAAAATTTAGACTTAAAATTTCCATCTATAAAAATCTTCAACAATTAGTTATGTCGATTGACATGTCCAAAGTCATGACATTTATCCAAAATATTAATCACATGTAAAATATTTTATTTAGAGTTTATTTATACAATCAAGAGAGTTATACCGTTCCTTTCTTTCCAACGCATGAATATGAAATCATTAAGTATGCTTGGTTCAAGGTAAATGGAAAATTATTTTAGCCTGTGTAAAAGTCTAATGCATTGTGATATTGTCGTTGAAAAATAGTTTTATCTTATATTTTTTGATAATTTGTTAAAGAAAACTGACAAGAATGGTTCAAGTCGTTTTGTTGCAATTGAGTTGCATGTTTCTACCGCCTCAGGACGTGCGAGTGATGAGAAGCCACGACCTTTACATCGTATATTCACTCATCTTGGAGTCATTCAGAAGGTTTGTTCTGTCAGAAATATTGAGTAGATCAAGGGTGTTTAGGATATAACGAATGGTCTATACCATTATATAGGTACTGACATTATATAGGTTCTGGTGTTTAGAAAACAAGTACAGTAGCTTGATGTTTTTTTGATCTGTCATCGCGCCGTCAAGTTGTCCCGGAATCCCATTATCGATATATCTCTGTTTTCATTTTTAAAAATTTCTGAAACTGTTTCATTTGTTCCAGGGTGTTGTTGTGGATGGTAAACACGAGACAAGAAAGGAATGTCGTTTTACATCCAATTCAGACAGCGCACAACAGTTGTATTCATTACTTTGTGAACAACAACAGTCTGAATATCGTCAACAATTGTCAGTTTTTCCTTCTGCTGTTGGTTCAAACAAAATGATCTCTGTAAGTTTTATAATTTGTAAGAAATAACGGCCCGTTAATGGACAATGTCCAGCTAGAATATGGAGTTGTCCAGACAAATTATTACCTTGACCAGTTAATATAAGCTCTTTGAAAAGGGAGTTCTGCTGTTTGAACAGGGAGTTCTGCTATTTGAAAAGGGAGTTTTGCTATTTGAACAGGGAGTTTTTCTATTTGAAAATTTTCCCGTTCTGCTATTTGAAAAGGGAGTTCTGCTGTTTGAAAATTGAGTTCTGCTATTCGAAAATTGAGTTCTGCTATTTGAAAAGGGAATTTTGTTATTTGAAAAGGGAGTTTTGCTATTTGAAAAGGGAGTGTTTCTATTTAAAAAGTGTGTTTTGCTATTTGAAAACGAGTTCTGCTATTTAAAAAGAGGGTTCTGTAATTTCAAAAGCGAGTTCTGCTATTTGAAAAGCGAGCTCTGCTATTTGAAAAGGGAGTTTTTCTATTTGAAAAGGGAGTTCTGCCATTTGAACAGGGTGTTCTGGCATTTGAAAAGGGAGTTATGTTATTTGAAAAGGGAGTTTTGTTATTTGAAAAGGGAGTTCTGTTATTTGAAAAGGGAATTCTTGCGTTTGAAAAAGGAGTTCTGGTCCTGTAGGAAGAACAGTTTAGAACTGCATGATAGAGCTATCCAGTATAAATAAAGTTAGTTTAGTTTAGGTTTCCTCCTGTAGTAACACTGGATCAATAGGAGATGATCCTTACTGGTCCTCTAGGAAGAACAGTTTAGAACTGATAGAACTATCCAATGGAAATAAAGTTAGTTTAGTTTAGGTTTCCTCCTGTAGTAACACTGGATCAATGAGGAGATGATCCTTACTGGACCTCTAGGAAGAACAGTTTAGAACTGATAGAACTATCCAGTATAAATTAAGTTATTTTAGTTTAGGTTTCCTCCCGTAGTAACACTCGATGTTGATCCTTACTGGACTTCTGGGAAGAACAGTTTAGAACTGACACCAGATCAATAACTGATTTAAATTTTAACTAATTTTTAGAACAACATATCAAGTCAAATATCCAACAAAGATAGTTTATCGCCTTCCCTCATAGCGCTGGTTCACGGGACTTGGTCGGATGCAATTGGCGAGCTAATATCTTTACTGAGCGTCTCTGTTGAACGACTTAAACTCCAGGATATCGGCAAAGCCGAGGGAATTTTACCAGCTATACGTGAAATATTAGACAAAAAGAGGACAATCGCAAGAAAATTTGAAGAAATATTCAGATGAGTTTTACTCTCTTATTCCGCACAATGAAAAAAAACAAACACGAAAGAAATCAATACACAGCGAGTTATTGCTGAAAAACAAGATCTCTGTCAGGTATGTTTTGATTGACTTGATGTAGGAGAAGCTTTCTGATTGGTCAGGTGAACAATGCGATGCGTTTCTAAGCCAATCAAATGATTTGAATTGTAAGGCAGGAAAGTTTAGGTCAATTTCATTTTTTTCCGGTTTTTGCTGTTGTAAAGTTCATGAATTTGGAGTTAAAAACACTCGCCGTTATAAAACAAGGGATGAGAAACCTAACCTTATTTTGTTTTTAATCTTTAATTATTCAAAGATATGTTGAACGTTAGCGAGGCGACAAATTTCTATTCACGAAATAGCGACGAAGGCAAGTACAAAGCGTTGGGTTGTCATCTTGAAAGAGTTTCAAAATCGTGCGACGAATATATGAATATTGTCAACAGAGTTCAGTCAACGTCAGTGAGGTAGACAATTGTTTGTTATACATTTAGGTTTCCTCCTGTAGTAACACTGAATCAATAAGAGATGATCCTTACTGGACCTCTAGGAAGAACAGTTTAGAACTGAAACAGCTATCCAGTATAAATAAAGTTAGTTTAGTTTAGGTTTCCTCCTGTAGTAACACTGAATCAATAAGAGATGATCTTTACTAGACCTCTGGGGAGAACAGTTTAGAACTGATAGAGCTATCCAGTATAAATAAAGTTAGTTTAGTTTAGGTTTCCTCCTGTAGTAACACTGGATCAATAAGAGATGATCCTTACTGGACCTCTAGGGAAGAACAGTTTAGAACTAATAGAGCTATCCAGTATAAATAAAGTTAGTTTAGTTTAGGTTTCCTCCTGTAGTAACACTGGATCAATAAGAGATGATCCTTACTGGACCTCTAGGAAGAACAGTTTAGAACTAATAGAGCTATCCAGTATAAATAAAGTTAGTTTAGTTTAGGTTTCCTCCTGTAGTAACACTGGATCAATAAGAGATGATCCTTACTGGACCTCTAGGAAGAACAGTTTAGAACTGATAGAGTTATCGAGTATAAATAAAGTTACTTTAGTTTAGGTTTCCTCCTGTAGTAACACTGGATGAATAAGAGATGATCCTTACTGGACCTCTAAAAAGAACAGTTTAGAACTGATAGAGGTATCCAGTATAAATAAAGTTAGTTTAGTTTAGGTTTCCTCGTTTAGTAACACTGGATCAAGAAGAGATGATCCTTACTGGACCTCTAGGACGAACAGTTTAGAACTGATAGAGCTATCCAGTATAAATAAAGTTAGTTTAGTTTAGGTTTCCTCCTGTAGTAACACTGGATCAATAAGAGATGATCCTTACTGGACCTCTAGGGAGAACAGTTTAGAACTGATAGAGCTATCCAGTATAAATAAAGTTAATTTAGTTTAAGTTTCCTTCTGTGGTAACACTGGATCAATAAGAGATGATCCTTACTGGACCTCTAGGAAGAACAGTTTAGAACTGATAGAGCTATCCAGTATAAATAAAGTTAGTTTAGTTTAGGTTTCCTCCCGTAGTAACACTGGATCAATAAGAGATGATCCTTACTGGACCTCTAGGAAGAACAGTTTAGAACTGATAGAGCTATCCAGTATAAATAAAGTTAGTTTAGTTTAGGTTTCCTCCTGTAGTAACACTGGATCAATAAGAGATGATCCTTACTGGACCTCTAGGAAGAACAGTTTAGAACTGATAGAGCTATCCAGTATAAATAAAGTTAGTTTAGTTTAGGTTTCCTCCTGTAGTAACACTGGATCAATAAGAGATGATCCTTACTGGACCTCTAGGAAGAACAGTTTAGAACTGATAGAGCTATCCAGTATAAATAAAGTTAGTTTAGTTTAGGTTTCCTCCTGTAGTAACACTGGATCAATAAGAGATGATCCTTACTGGACCTCTAGGAGAACAGTTTAGAACTGATAGAGCTATCCAGTATAAATAAAGTTAGTTTAGTTTAGGTTTCCTCCTGTAGTAACACTGGATCAATAAGAGATGATCCTTACTGGACCTCTAGGAAGAACAGTTTAGAACTGATAGAGATATCCAGTATAAATAAAGTTAGTTTAGTTTAGGTTTCCTCGTTTAGTAACACTGGATCAAGAAGAGATGATCCTTACTGGACCTCTAGGAAGAACAGTTTAGAACTATTATTTCTATGCTTACAATGACTGGAGCAGGATAGTATTCCAACAATATGCATAGCTCAGTGACCTCTTGTTGGTATAAAACACGCGTGCTTTTCACGTGGGCTTCATGGGAGCTGAAAAATTATACTAAAGTTTTACGATAGATGTGTTTCAATTTTTGCTCATAAATGCTCGTTTGAATGGTAAATACTCTGCCTAAAAGCTGAAAACAGATTGAAAAGGTAAGATGGTGCAATTGCAGTCCATATTATTTTGTGTTTTATGGTTCAAATCCGTCGTAGTCCAGAAAAAGAAACGTGTTTTTCCGGGGGATTCACTCTTCGTACTTTTTACCAAACAAACTAACATCGAAGAAAGAAGTGAAAAGCGCGTGTTTTAAACCAAACGTGGTTCTGTTAGGACTGAAATGTGAACATCGTTGAGAAATGCGCTAGAAATGCAACCATCTGGCTGAAAACTACAAATTTAGCAATTTGTAAATTTTAGCGAAGGCCCTTTGGCTTTGTCCCGCCACATGAACTTCCGACAAAGCCAAGGACTTCGCTTGGAAACGTCGCAATTCTCTCATTTTAGGCAGTTCCTTCCCTACCAGCGGGAACGAAAGTGTGTTAGCATTGAGAGTATACTTAGACTCGGACAGACCGACTACGAATTGTAGACTTTCTGCCACGACTGTGAGTATGTACAGAAGCAAGGCTTATTGACCAAACACACAAGAATTTAATAAACCACAGATTCACAGAATAACAATGTAAACCAATCTGTGCGATTGCTTTTATCTCATTAGATAAGAGCGGCTAAAATAAACCCAGAGTTGAAAGCTAGGCCTAAATATTAAGCCGCGGCTTATTGGAAGTTGATGGTTACACGAGTTGTTCGCGACTTATTTAGGCCGCGACTTAGGCCAAATAAAAAAAAATACTTGGTTAGCGTCACACTCTCACAAATTTTCAGAGGCGGGCGGGCGGATTTTTTTTTTAATTTTTACTCGTTTTTTAATTTTTTAATAGTATTTTTGGAGGGGATGGGGGGCGGTTTTTTTCACCATGTCCATATCGGTGATATTTTTTGTACTGATGTTGCGAAGGCCGCCATTTTGCTTTAAGAACCTTGTATACCCAAGCCTACGCGCTCCTATCGATCAGTAAATAGCGCGAAGGTCTGAGCATGAGAAAAATTTCAAATATTAAACTGTTTTAATTTAAGCTGTAAAACGAAGAGATTTACATAAAAAAAAAAAAAAATTCAGAGGCGGCAGAAAATCGAGAGGCGGGCGGTGACGCTAACCAAGTATTTTTTTTTATTTGGCCTTATTTTCGCTCGTCACAAATGGCCCTAATAACACCGCGGAAAAACGTCTGCGCATGCGTCAACCTTACCTGTAATAGTATTGCGAACTTGATGAGAAGCTGTTCCGAACGTTTCCGAAGGCTCAAAATGGCGGTAAAAAGGAGTGACTTCATTGTGCGTCTTTACAGCCAGATTTCAAGCGCAAAAATAAACATGTCATTCTAAAAACTAGAAATACTGCGATTTCCAGTTGAGTATGGAATTGCGCAAGTTTGTTCGTCAAGTTTTGTCGTTTGAAAACAATGTTTGTGACATCATTCTATAATGTTGTTAGGCGAGCTGACAATGTTGTCAAGTAAAATACTGCCAAGTTCACGACTATAAATAGAAACTTTATTTCGTTTTGTAATGATTGACAGTTTTTAACGGTTTTTACTTGACAACATTGTCTGCTCGCCTGGTAACATTATAGAATGACGTCACAAACATTGTTTTCAAACGACAAAAGTTAAAGGGGAAGTCAAGTCCGTAATGTAAACAAACGGTTTGTTTACATTTTGAACTGCTGTATTTTTTAAAATATGATGTACTGTCTGAATATTTAACACCATTTTGGTTCGTTATGCTTCTACATGAATATGAAATAGAGTTTGTGTTCAGAAAAATTCGAAACATTCAAAATTTGGGCAATGTTTACCTCAGAGGGCCCTCTATTGTTATGCGCAGAACCGATGCGCAGAACGGACTTGACTTCCCCTTTAAACTTTAGGATTTATTCTACAATTTGAGTGGGTTAAGAAGCTTAACTTTTCGAGAGTTTTCTTAACTTTTGAGTTTGAATTCTTGTTTTGAATAATTTTGCAAAAATTTTCGAAGTCATGTCCGTTAAAATCAACAATTTTTTACATGAATTCTATTTCATTCCATACTTTAAATGCCAGGACGCTTTCAATTAATGTCTAGTCTACCCATTTGCTATATTTTCTCGTTTGTTTTACTAATTTTTGACCAATTAATAAGCATATTTTTGTTTTAGAAATTGATATTCAAATTCCCCGCCATATTTTCATAATTTGGTCACAGAATAGGAAGTTATACCAGAAGCGTAACTCTAGTCGTTTCCCTTATCCACGAAAATTTTAACTCGCTCACGTCAGGCCACGCCATCCTGGCTAGTACAGCCGGAAGTTTTTATCAGGATTTGATAGGTACAAAGTGCCGGTTGTACTAGCCAGGATGGCGTGATTGATGACGAATCGCTTGTAAAAACGCGGACAAATACTTGCTCGAGTTACGCTTCTGGTATAACTTCCTATTCTGTGATTTGGTGCATGCGCAGACGTTTTTCCGCGGTGTTCCTAGCCTGCTCGCAGGCCGTTTGTCAGGCAGAGGCTGCGAGGATAGAGCCTGTGAGCAGGCTACGGTGTTCCTAATGTGAGTCTTTTTAGATATGACATGTCTTGCGCATGTATCACACGTGAACTTATCATGCGGATTTTCCCCAATACCCACTGGGACTTACCGCACAAACCCATATATGGCTGGAAAATCGTTCTTTTTCGATTTTGCAGCATTTTTGCATACTTAATTAAGTTGGCATATAAAAACAGCGCGACGAGAATGGGTGGGGTCTTATTTGGTTCTCGGTTTTGTGCTGGAAGCAACTTCGAATT